CTCATCAGGGATTTATCTGTGTTGAGGCTGACTGGCAGTTTGGTAGTAATCAGGCTTTCTCTACTTTGTCTCAGGGATGATTTTCTTAAGCTTTGCTTGTGAACATGGTATTTGTCTCCTTAACCATAAAAGACTACAGGGAATTCAGATCTGCTCTTTCAGTGTTCCCAGCCCAACTCTCTAGTATCCCTACTCCTTCAAGATGAAATCTGGCAAATATCAAGAGGCAAACTAGCAATATGCTTGTGGTGGGTCCTCTATTTCTGGTTTGTCTTTGTTTTTTAAGCAATAAATGATTTCAGTCTTTCTTTTAGAAGTTTTGTCATACATTGTCAGCATTCCACAAAGCCCTAAAACTCATCAAATATGTCATTAGTAAAACTAGTCTTGCATTGCAGGTCCTTGAGATTCCAATTTGTCGCTTTAGAGCTACACAACTGCTTTGCTTTCTACCAGCGGTTGCCAAGGCTTTTATAGCAACATCCAGAATTTGCTTATGCCTTCACTAAATACAAATGGCTAGCAATCATCAGCTTCACTTTGGATAGATTCTTGCTTCTCTGAAACTGTAGTTCATCTAGCTCTCATTTCTTCCAAAGCTTTTTAATGCTTTTAAAACACAATTTTTTGTAATTTTCCAGCTTTTTCTAGTTCCAGTAGGAGGCTGGCCATTTACCACCTACTACATACTATTTGGAAACAGAAGTCTCAGTAAATATTAAAATGATTCTTGTTTTCATTTGAAATCCTGTATCACTCCAGTTTCTGGTTCATTAATCATATCTTATATTGCTTTGTTGCTTCATGTGTGTTGGTCTTATTTCTTTGCATATTACAAACTTTGAGGGAAGAATTGTTTTTTATCTTGTATAGACCTATCATTATACTAAACATAGCATAATTAAAAGTCAATTTGAAACATTGGATAGTTTAAAAATCTAGTCTATGGGACATTATATTAATCATAGTCACAATTATCCCATCTTTATCCTTGTAAATCCTTATTTACTTCATATATCCAGTTATCTATCTATATGTATATTATCTGTCTCTGACCCCTTGCAAATTGTCTTTATAAAACTCTGCTCAAGGACTGATAAATACATAAAAGAAGTCTATAGCTTTTGTATATCTATTTACCAACAAAAGACGGGACTTTGAATTGTTTCTTATCCCTTAAATATGAACTCTGAGAATGTATGGCAATGAAAGGCTTATTTCTCACTATAAACTTGCATGCTTCTTTCAATTAAGCAATAAGAATTACCTAATTCATCAAGTTTTTTATTTACTCTGACTGCTACAAAAATAAGGGTTTGATTAGAGTTGTCCTCCTCACTGTGTATAGACACACACACACACGTGCATGTATCTATATATACACATATATATACAGACACACATGCATATGTTTGTCTAGTGTGTGGGTTGCTGTATGACTCCTTCTTGTTTCCTTCTGTTTATCTTTTTTTATTATTTGCCCTGTGTTACCTGTGTATTTATTGTAAGTCACAGCAAATTTTGAAAAATGGATGAATGAGTCTATGAATTGACATAGCTAATATAATGACCTAAGGTGCCAGTGACTCATCAACTTTGGCATGAATTAGGCTTTTTATTGCCAGATGGACCAGGTTAGTGGCATTCATTTAATATTTGCCAAATATTGAATCATTAAGAGAAAGACAAACCACAAGATTTCTTAAGATTCTTTTTTCTTACCATTCATTTTCCATGACTTGCATTTTTATTTACAAAAATGTCTAAATACCTTTCGATGATACAAGTCAGCTTTTGTATGCTTAAAATTTGTGTGAAAAGTATAAAATTTAGAAATGTCTCAGTCTGTCAACATAAACTTTGTGAATCTGGAAATATCTGAAAAAATTAAGTGATCCTTTAAAGTTTTTACTATGAAAATAAAAGACAAAGGTATATCTCCAGCAGTGGATTTAATAAGCAAGAAGTTAAGATATAAGCAACATAATAGGCTGTAATATTGAAGCATGTAGATCTGTGGGATTAGTGGGTTAGGACGAAATTGGTAACTCTATAATGCGTACAATCTAACATTTTCTCTTTGAAATCTATAGTTAAATGCATTTGTTCCCAAAAACTATACCACCAGCAATTTCAATCCATTTTCCAGATGTTAAAAAATATCTGCCCAGGAATTTGAGACCAGCCTGGCCAACATGGTAAAACCCTATCTCTACTAAAAATACAAAAAGTAGCCAGGCATGGTGATGCACACCTGTAATCCCAGCTACCTGGGAGGCTGAGGTACAAGAATTGCTTGAACCCGAGAGGTGGATACTGCAGTGAGCCCCAATCACCCCACTGCACTCCAGCCTAGGTAATAGAGTGAGACTGTCTCAAAAAAAACAGCAAAAAAATCCCCCAAAATCTGCCCATAGAAAACCAGGTTGTTAATTCCATCCATGTATGCTAACCCAGTAGAAGACAATGTTGCTAGAAGGATCATTTCCAAATAAAAATGACAATTTGTGTAATTAGTTTACTAATGACTATAGTCCTAAAGAAACTTAGGACTAAAAAACTTAGGTTCATGCAACCACAATTTTAAATTTGTACTCTACTAAATTGTAGGCTTGAAATATATGGCATAAAGGGTGCTTACTGAGGGCCAATGCTGGAGCCAGTTGAATACAGTCAGCCTTTGGTGTAAATAATTGTCTAAATACGTTCTATGGGTCCCCGTACCTTCTTGCAGGACCACATGACTTTATAAAAAAAAGTTGTCACGACAGTAATTTTTATAAACAAAAGACTTTATTTCAAATATATTTTACAGTTTGTGTGTAATTAGGATTGCTTTCCAGATTGTGAAATTTAAGAATAAATTGAACAAGCAATGTACAAAATAGTGATGTTTACTTAGGCCTACTGAATTCCTACAATTGTTCTTGTAGTTTTTTCTTTCTTTTTAAATTGTATCAGTGGAGACATCAATGATAACACAGATTTTATCCTCTTGATTATATTTTGAATAGCAACAAAGTACCATTCCATTCCATATTTGTTTGCATCTTTAGAAACTGGCAATAAGGGGAGTAGAATCTCATGTATCTGGACCTAATTGGAAATGATAATATATTATTAACAGAGCTCAACCAATTCATTCTTTGTGGTAAAAGCAGTTTGCTAAGCAAATTGGTAGAATAACTAAGATTGTAGGACAGATGTTAGCCTCCTTAAGAAACATATTATTTTAGAGAGCTTTTAGCAATACTATTGCATACACTTTACATACTAATTACAATGCTTACTTATAAAACAGGTCTTCTCAGCTAGCTATTAGATTGCTTTAGAAACTCAAGAAAATAGATTGGATTTTTTTCATAAACATTCTTTAAATCAGACATTGAACTAATTCATGCTTACCTTCACCTCCATTGTTATAACTGAGGTTTCAATGATGATGTGAAGTTATAGAGATGACTTCAGAACTTTTAAATTTGGTAAGAATGACAGCATAATGATTTTAAAAACACTTACGTGAACTTCAAACACCAGCAACGAAAATTGGCAACATTGAAATTTAAAAAAAAAAAAAAGTGTCTTCTTTTCACTATTGCCAGTATTGTTTTGTTGTTCAAGGCATTGGCAATAGGAAAACAATCTATTATTATATGCTAGTCCTAAATATTACATAAGAAACTAAAAAAACAAGAAAAGAATGTTTCCAAGTAAACTTTATTTGGTAGAAGAAAGAGGGTGGTGGTTGGGACTTTCCACCTTGGTGAGCCAAGTTTCCTAAACAGGCAAGATTTTCACCATCCACATATACTTAGCACATCCTGGTAATGTTATTTCCTGAAGAAATGTAGGAAAAGATCATGACCAATGCAACCATGGGTGGTCTATTATAAACTCTATACAGAATGTTTACTTCTCAATTCCTACAATGGATATTTTCCTTTCAAAGAACCTCAATTTTGTTTGCAAAATTTGTTTTGCAAATATTCAGTGGGTTGCAGTTTTATGTTTGTCATATTTTTAGTGTTCCACTTGCCTGGAGTCTCTGAAGTCTACTGCTTTGCCATGATGGGCAACACGAGACACGGAAACAAGGAGTGGCAATGTGGTTCTGACGGACAAAATGCCCTCCAGCCAATAAAGAGAGGGATTGCGAACGCCTTAAAACCTCAAACTCTTGCCTACTTACTGATCCTGTTTCAAGGTTTTCTCAGAGGCCTAAAGAGAAAGTATGGTAGGCCACAGAAGCTGCAGAATTTGACATGCAAAGTAAAGGTAGGCAGAGGAAGAGAAAAATATCATCCCCACCTCTTGGTTGTTTTGGAGCATGAGAGTATGCCAAATTACTTAGAGCTGTTAAATAGCAAAAGCTTTGTTCTATCCCCAGAGATTCTGATTCGCTACATCTGAGGTTGGGCCCAGGAATCTACATTTTTCACTGTTAATTCTGAAGCAGGTGGTCTGTGGACCAGATTTTGTAAAATGCTTCTGTTAAGGGATATAGTGGGCAGTGTTTGTAGGATAAACCCTTTTATATACTTGTATTCATCTGAACCAAATCTTACCTGACCCATTGTCTTGATACCTATTTAAAAAATCCACCCACCCACCCACCCACCCAACCAACCAACCAACCAAACACCCTCATATGAAACTATTACATATAGAACTATCAAGGTAGAAAAACATTATGGTGGAAGAGACAAGCAAAAATGGCCATTGAAAGGAAAGGAGACTTCTTGTTTTTAACATTCACTAGAAATGTTTAAGGTAGAACTCAGAGGCTAATGTTAAACAATTCAGAAATATCCATTATTCAAAATTAGATACCAGCGAGGTGAAAATTATTTATAGTTCTTAGTAATTTCATGATCTGAAATTTATAAATCTTCTATACAAACAAAAGAATAAAGCACAATTCTAAAGCATAGAAACCCCCCAACCCCAACCCCAACCCAAGGAAAGTGTCCAGCCAGGGAAAACAACAATATTAAAGGTGCTTTAGACTGTTGAGTTTTCAATTGTATTGAGTCAATTACATATAAGAAGAGTATCTTTTGACAGTATAGTGAAGCTAGATCGGTCTGAGTGAGATGCATCATATTAAGTTCTGACTGTCTTTCTGGGAATGTCCACAACTAAAAATTAAACCTTTAGTTCTCAAAGTCAGTAAGTGGGGTTAGTTATATAAAAAACAAGATTAAATTTCCATACTTTTGTTCTTTTCATAACAAAACTAAGAATTACACCCTCATAACAATAATTGTGAAAAGAAACACAGTATAATAGGTAAAGAACACATCTGCTGTTTTTATTGGTGCCTTGCATGGCAGTAATACTGAAAAAGGAGAATGCAAAAAAATAAAATAAAATAAAATAAAATAAAAAAACGAAAAACAGGTTGGTGGCAACCCACATCTTTTTTTTAAGAGCACATAATCTCCTGTTTTATTTTTATTGTGGCATGAATGATAACATAAAACCAAAAACATGAAAATATACAACTTATATTACACTATGTGTTATGAACAAAATATAAATCTATAACTCTATGTTATATTTACATAATTATTTATTTTATTAAATTTCAAGTGAGATGGTAGGTTGCACATACTTTGTTTTAAGCTCCAGGCATTTGATTGTCTCTTTTCTACATTTTTTTCCATTTCTACTTGTAAAATTCAAAATGTTAGAAGGACTAAGAGCTTTAGAGCCAGTGGAGCTATATAAATACTGTTTTAGTGAACCAGTGACAGAAACACTGGGGAGGACAGGAATCGATCAGTAGGAAACTCAGCACATCATCTTCAACCTGGGAAGTTGATAGTTACAGGAAACTTTAAAATTAAATACTTGAAAAGCCTGGCTAAACCAACAGCTATGCCCTACAAGACAAAGAGATACCTGAACCACTTTAAGTGGCCTTCATAGTTTTCCTTGCAGACCCCGTAAGTTTTATTTTACTATTAATTTGATAGACAAATATCTTATAAACCTGTTTGTAAATATACAGTTGTTTATTACAATTCAATAATTTACCCATTAGAATGAATGAAAGTGTAATTATTTTTTATGGTTTAAATGTGATATAAGAGGTTTCTTCTGGGAACAGTCACAGCTTCTGGATTAAGAAAATATCTGAAGTTGGACCGTAAAATGGTTAATTTTCTCTAAATGAATTAAGGTAAACTTCTACTCCAGAAATCAAAACTATAAAATAGTTTCACCAAAGAAAACTTTTTATATTTGTTCTTTATAAGAGGATTTGGTTTTAACAATGATGATTATGTTCTTTGGGAGGGATTTTATACATGGTTAACTCTTAACTGCAGATGCCAAATGAACTTTAAAAATGGACTTAACTAATTTAGGTACAAATGTACTGAAGAATAGTTTTATATTTTATCCAATTGTAGTAACTTAATCACTAAGTTATTATTAGTAATCACAAATGAGTAACTTTATTTTCTTCAGTGATGTTCTCTTAAATTCATACAAAAACATGACTTTTTTTAGAGAAACTGATTACAACTATAAAAACCGGAATTCTGGCAAGATTATTTCTCAGTGTTGGGGTAAGTTTTGTGTGTGTGTGTGTGTGTGTGTGTGTGTGTGAGAGAGAGAGAGAGAGAGAGAGAAGGGCAAAGAGATAAAGTGTGAACAGGTAGGTAAGAAAGCAGAGAGGAGGGGACTGTGTTTTAGTTTGATCTTTTGATCTTACTCTCATTTTCTTTATCTTTTTTGGTCATTATGGGGCATAGAAAAAGAATACAGGGTTTTAGGATCCTTGACCAAAACTATAAATCAACCAAATGCCAAAAAGGCAATGTAGTAACAGTAAGTTGCTATTCATAGCACCTTTTGCCAAGTGATTTCATAGCACTTTCAACATTAATACAACTATTTTTGCTTTTGTAACGGGGAAAACTAGGGCAAAGAAAATTTGATATCCAGTGAATTAACCATCAGAACAAGAGAACAGAATGCAGGGCTATGAGCCTGCTTTTTGTTTCAGTTCATGCACAGTTTAGTCTCAGACATAAACCTAGCTAAGATTAACTTTTGAATTTTAGCAGTTAAAAGTCACCATTAACAATTTTGTTTTCCCTTCAAATAAAACAAAGTAAAACAAAAAAAGACTAAACAGAATCGTTGTCAATTCACTGGTGTGTTATTGGTTTCAGCCATGAATGCCTTCAATGGCATCTACCTGGAGCTAAAACAAAGTATTCTTGTAGCCCAAAGTCATGAAATGAAAACAAAGCATCTTTTATAACATGGTGTGAAGTAAGTATCCAGCAAACGTGAGAGGTGAACCCACATAAATCAGAAGGAATTTGTTAACAAAGACAGAGAACAAATTTTTTAAAAATCTGTTTTCACATTGTACATAATAATGATATAAAAACAAGTGTCTAGTTTTTCCTTATCCAGAGTGCTTAAAAACAAAACAAAAACAAAAACAAAAATTGGCTCTAGATGACTGTGGCAATTAAATAACTAAAATGAGTGATGAGAGCATAAGTTAGTTAAGATTGAACACGACCCTCCTATGAATTCACTCCTTTGTTTTAAACATCAGAACAGATATTGTTGGGGCCAAAATTCTTAAAAAGGAGAAAACTTATGGAAGGAGAAGTAAAATTGTGTGGGTAAATGTGTGTGTGTGTGTATGTGTGTATGTATGTGTATATATATATATGCACACACACATATATATACATATACATACATATATGAATTGGAGATGGAAATTTGTTTTAAATATCTAACAGCTTATTGGCTGCACTTCCAAATCGGAGCAGAATAAAATAGAAGGGGAGAAATAAAATAAATTATACATAACTTACTAATCTGGGAACAGCTGACCATTATTATTATTACTATTATTATTATTTTATCATCATCATCATTATTACAACACTAGCAAAAAGAGGCAGTTCAAATGAAAATAAAGTCATCAAAAACAGGAAAAACAAACATAACGAAATCTCTGACATGCAGGATATGATCAGCTCCTCCAAGCAAAACCCCAGAGCAAGTCTTTTGAGAGAGAGAAAAATAAAAGAAATTCTTTTTTTTATTTATATGAAAAATCCAACTTTAGGGTGGTGTTTAGTGGGGGTGGAATAGGAAAATGATGACTGGAGTGAAAACTATAGCACATTGAGCTACTAGTTGCAGTATTTACTATCTGATACTTCAATACAAATAATGGCAATTGACTTGAAATGATTTTGCATTTATTTGTACAGGCCCTACAACTGCCTTGGCATTTGGCTGGAAAAGTCTACATAAGCAGTCCCATCACATTCAGTTGTTGCTCTTCACAAATACTCTGCTCGAACCAAAGATGGACTTCAGTGGATTCATCTGACAGCAAGGGAAGAGCAGTGGCAAGGATCCCTGGGTGCAGCCAGGCTCCATTTTGCTGGGCTGCAATGACTTTTAATTAAATACTACTTTTTATGGCATGAACTACACATGGCCCACACTTCTGAAATGCTAAAGGCCTCCACCTCATTTCATGGAGGGGTGAAAAATACCTTATAAAATCATCAGTTTCATTTCCTGATCAGGAAAGGATGGAATGTTGAAGAAATAAGCTAATTCTATTCATCTGAAAAATGGCCAAATATATTCAATGAAAACAATGATTGTTTTGCTTGAAATATCAACAGGAAAAACAAAAATCACTAAGTAGCAAACATTAATAGAACCAACTGACCAGGGAGAAAGGACATCTGGGAACAGTTTGCTAGTAGCTTCCATGTTATACATGCACACCTCTATTACACAGGGCCACCTGATCCATCCAATAATAATCATATTAGACATTTAAAAATATAATTTCTGAGCCCTATACTTGGTTAAGTTGTCATTTGAAGTGCAAAGTCAAGGTCAAGATTATTTCTAGACCAGTCACTTGGGAGGATGTGGGATTTCATCCCCAGATGTGGGTTTAACTCACAATGGTCCAACGTTATTCCTATTAGTACCATAATCACACACATACATACACACAAAAATCCAAGATCAGAAAATATTTTTCTCTAAATTTCTTATGTCTCTCTCTCTTTTCACCTGAGAACAGCACCTACAGTTTCCATTAAAAAAAAAAAAGTCAAATCTCACCAGCTGCTGGTATTTCAGGTTTTCTAAGGGATTGTCTAAGATATAACACTGTCCTAACTTAAGAAGGAACAGGAAAAAGGAAAGGGAAAAAATGAACTTGGTCAACACTTCAGTACAAATTTGGCACTTGCTCAAAGATGTAGTGTGGTGTGCAACAGATAAAGAAAGTCCTCTAAAGAAAATAATTGCTTAATTTGTGGTGGATAGCAAGTAAGTTAAAAACAGGCTCTTTTTCCCTCTTCCCCCTCATGCACAGACTTCCATCTTTAAAGTATAGAGATGGAGAAGGTGGAGAGAAGTAAAGAGAAATTCATTTTTCTTTTTTTTTTTTTCTGTCAGGTGCATTACAAAGAAAAAAAATGAAAGAAAAGAAAAAGAAAAGGAAAAAACCCAGAACCCCCCAAAAACAAAACAAAACTTATTTCTTTTTAAAAATTGTAGCACAAAACAACAAAACACATTCACAAGCCACTTGTTGGCACTGTGTACCTGAGTGAGAATTTCTAGAACATTGTAGAACAAACAGCCATAAAGTTTATTAAAAAAAAAAAAGTTGACGGGTAAGACTTCAGTGCTTGGATGTAGCAGCTGAATTACTGGCATTATTTTACCCATAGCTTATTTCAATCTCTTGTTGTTGATATTGTTGTCTGCTTGTTGTATTTTTTTTTCTTTCCAAGCCTTTTGAGGCTGAGGTCTATTAGTCAGCTGATGTCCCAACTATTTAAGACTAACAGTTAAAGTAACAGTCAGTGTATGAGAAAGTTAATGTGCTTGGCCACTGGTAAGGATGAACCAGTTAGGGCTTCTTTAAGTCCTAAGGTCACAACAATCTTTTGACCCTTATCAGTTGGCTTGTCCTGCAATATGGTTTTCACTGTCACTCCCATAATCTACATCTGGATCATCCTCTTCCTCGTCGTACTCATCATAAATTTCTCCATTGATGTCCTCGGCCTGCATCTCCTCTTTGATATGTGGCTCCTCTCCTTTCACACCGTAAGTGCTCTGGATAACAGGCATCCCAGGCTCTGGGCTGCTAGACACGCTTGAGTGCTCTGAGGGCAGGTGAGGGGAGGGCATTCCAGCCATGGCGATGGCTCCAGGATACACAACACCAGCAGTGGCAATGGGGATCTGTGCTTGTTGCCTGTCAAGAAAGGAATTTCCAAAAAGAGATCATGGGTGAGTGAATAGTTAGATGTGGACTTTGCAATTAATTTGCTCAGCAATGTCCCATTCTAAGATACTGATTTTATCTAATTGCCGAACATTTTTCAAACTGTATCCAACTTTGACTTTAATACCTTACTTCTATGTAGTGCTTCATAGATTGCAAGACATTTACATGTATTGTCCATCTTATTCTTAATCCTGTTTTGTGACTACCGCTTTATTAAAAAAACTGAGGGTACAAAAAGATGAGGCAGAAGAACCCAGGTCCTTAACTCCAAGTTCATTTTTCCTTCACTATAACATGCAGAAATGGTATTTTTCCCTAGAATTAAACCTAAAGATAATTACATTTTAATAGGAAAATCCTAAAGTATTAGAGTTCTAAAAATAAAACTTTCCTACCAGAACACACCAGAACTGAACAAATTCACACAGTCATAGTGGTAGGAAGCAGGGCCAGCTTCAAGGATGTACAAACGGTGCAACTGCACTAAGGTCCCACACTTTGATTTAAAGCTTTGCTGCCACAGACTTGAAATTCCCAGTAACTTTTTTTTTTTTTTTTTTTTTAAAGATGCGGTTTCACCATGCTGGCCAGGCTGGTCTTGAACTCCTGACCTCAGGTGATCCACTCACCTCGGCCTCCCAAAGTGCTAGGATTACAGGTGTGAGCCACCACGCCAGGCCAAAATTCCTAATAACTTTTTAACAAGAGACTCTGTCTCTTCATTTTTGCAACTGGTCCTATAAATAACGTAGGTGGTCCTATAGAAAGGGATGAATAGATGATGCTCATTTATGCTTGTTTTTATTCATTCATATGTTTACTATTAACCCAAGAACTGTTGGGCTTTGTGTTTATCTTTGTGAGGAGTCATGTGCTTGCATATGAATCACAGAACCCTAGACAGAGCATGTAGCCTTTTTCAAGGAACTGGAGGGGACAGAGCAGATTTGAAAAGGCTTTTATGTTATTCTCTGCCCATATTTAGAACAATATTTATTATTCTAAGTAGCTCTTAGGAACTAACTTCTATTTCAAAGATGAACAACTTTATTTTTGTGTTTGAGAGAATTCTGTAGAAGCAATGCATTTCTGTAGAACATCTACAACACTATCAACAACCTTGCCACCGGAGCACTGTAAAACATCTTGGAGCTGCGTTCTTCATTCAGAATGAAACTTCCTGTTCATAACCTTGTTGTGCCCTAAATATAATCCCTAGCTTGTGTTACCTACAAGGGCCACACATGTACCTTGATAGCTCACTAACCTCTCTGTATTTAGAAATAAGTATTTTTTCTTTCGAAATGATTTTTATTTTGTATTGTCTCAACAAAGTTGTCAATTGTAAAATTGATCATGGTGAAGCTTAGGAGGTAATGCAAACCAATGAAGAAAAGAACCAGTTATACTTCTAAGTTTTTAATAGAAAGCTTCAAAATTATTTACTTGTAGTTATCTTATTTTTAAACTAGTTGTTAACAAATCTCATGTTAGAGCTAGGAACTTGCAGTGGATTCATATGCATATATTTTTCAAGACCATGTGGGAGACTGTTAGTCTCTGAAAATACTCTGAGCTCAGATTCTCTTTCAAAATGCCTCTTTGCAACTGAACAAATATGTTTCACATCCCATTAAGTATAACAGGAAGTTTGCCCCATGAGAAAAATGACTGAAGGGTCCATACCCAACATTGAAGTACTGCCGCATCTCCTGCCGCCTGTTGCGCATGATTGCCTTGTATTCACCAATGCGCAGCTTTTTGCCATCCACAAGGCAGGTGCGCTTTGGCCTGGGCTTGTACTTATAGTCAGGGTACTTCTCCAGGTGCTGCTTGCTGAGACGGGCTTGCTCCTCATAATATGGCTGTTTCTCTAGGTTTGTCATAGCTTTCCAGCGAGATCCTATGAAGAAAGAAGGTTAGGATGCCAATTGGCACAGCTTCTAAGCAGTCTAAAAAGAGATATAGCTGAGAACAAGAAAATCTAAAGTAGGGATGTTGACCAAAACCCAGAAATACATAAACCTATTTTTGATTAGCGAGATCCCACAAGAACAGAGGTGGTGGTGGTTTTGTACCTAAAGATATAAACACTGGGCAATTCATTTTTTTCTCTGGCATGAATTCATAGTTTAGCCAAACTTTTGTATTATGTACCCAAACGCTCATAATTTAATGAATATATTTCTCATTCCTACATTAGATCATGATATAATTCACATGTGAACAAAAGTTACATAATATTTTATCACACATTTTGAGTCTGAGACTAATTACTGTATCAAGTTGTTGAGTATTTTATGTGGGAGATGTTTTTTACTATGAAAGTTCCTAACATATATCATGTAGTCTCACCCTCCCCAAAATGTTTAAGTATTTTATGCTTATGAAAATGATAGTAGTAAAAAATTCATTTTATTAACATTTTAATTATAATTAAAATAATAATATTAATCAACATGGACTGAATAACTACTATGTGCCAGATACTATGCTAAAAGCTGGACATACATTATCCCTTTCCTACCTTTCACCTCAATCTTATAAGACAGACAGCATTTCTATCTGTTTTCATAGTTGAGAAAATTGAGATTCAAACTAACTTAGCCAGGGCCATAATTATTGAAGTGCAGATCTGTGGCCCAAACTCAGATTTGACAGAACTTAAATTGTGCTATAATGTATGGCATTTCCTATATATGGCCACCTACTATATAAAATATAGCAGAGGTCACAATTAAAGTAAGTGTGTACTGAGTAAGATTTTCTCTTAATAAATTAATTTCAATAACATACAAAGATGTCACTTCCCATAATGTAGTCTGTATTAGTAATAATAACCCAAATTGTTTCCCCCTTTCTTTTCACTATTAATTTTGGTATGAATTTAGCTGGGATTAAAAAAGACAAGTTTGAAGCTTAAATATAAATAGTTTATGTTAATTCACATTTTAGATATGGTTTAAAACGTTGATTCTGTCAAAGTTTTTTTTTTTTTTCAAATAGAAGTGGTAGTAATAGTGTTTACTTTTTATTAAGAGAGAGTTAAAAATCTATTTGCAGATGAAGTGTGTGTTTATCTGCAAATAGTCATCTCAACTCAACCCGAATGTACAAAGGCCGAAAAACTACAACCAGGATATCCCTACCAAATGGTCTTTTACCTGCCTTTAAATGTCATCTAAGTAAGATCTTAGAAGCTTTTGAATGAGTTCATTACTCACCCATAACACCATATATTAAATGCAAGTAGCTCACTGTTGAATAGTTCTTCCCTACACATGTAGAGAATTCATCATATAGGCTGTTATGTTTATTAAAGCATGCAGTGAAAGAAGTATCTCTTCCCTTAGAAATGTTGACATTTTTTCCCTTAGAAATTGAAAGAGATAATGCATAGGTACAATTTCCAAATCTAGAAAGCCAATATGAATTTATTCTATTTACAATAGAAATGCAGGTTACAGTTTAAATAACAAAGTTTCTTTTTCCACTCCTTTCTTAAACTTCTGTTTAAATAGCATCGTCCAAAATTAAGTTGGTTGGTCAAGCCATATCATTTGTAGGTATAATCTCAAACTCCTTGTTGGCCCAGCATTATTTTCTGAAGATACTTGAATATCATTACGTTATTCTCAGGGTATTTATAAACACAGATATGATTATAACACTATTAAACAGAACAACTCTTTTCATGGAGTTTCTCCCAAGCATTGGTACCAGTTTTTTGAACTTCAGATCAGGGAGTGGAAAGTGAGCTTACTATAAATAACTCACAAACAGGAATACGCTGAAAAATGGATCAAGGATGGTGGATCTAATGTAAAATCTATTAGCTATCTTTATCCCAAAATTCAAAAATGAAACCAGCATTTTCAATTAGAATAGGAATTGCCAAAGACTCTTCCCTAAGTTTAAATTATCTACAAGCCAAAAAGCTTTTGCTCTTCAAAGGAAAGAAAATGTTTATGCTTTGAAATAATCTGCCTTGGAATGTGAGAGTTGTTTTTATATTCCTAATATGTGCATAATGTTGTATTAATTACTGATATGAAGTAGTAAGTGAATAAAAAAGTTATAGTTCCTGTCTCTTTGAAGCTTATATTCAATCATGGAATATGCATGAAATATCTAATTATAAAATTTATTTCCCTTATAGTTGTGGGAAGTACAGGAAAGTAAGAGAACATATGATAAGGAGGTGAGAGCAATCCCCTGCAGGTCAGGAAGGCTTTGCTGTAGGAATGACTCCTACGGGGATCACAAAGAGAAGAACATCCTATAGAGGAAGAATATAATACTTAAGGTCTTTCAGTGGAAAGAGGGATTAGACTAACTTAAAGAAAGCTGGTCTGACATAAAAAAAGAGAAAAAAAAGATGCATGTATATCAAGAAATGGGATAATAAAAGATGTGTAAATTCTTAAGATAAGTTGGCTTCCAAATCTGGCATGAGCGGGAATTATAAAATAGTTTAACTCTTGATAGTATAATTTCTCTGAAAGTATCACTAAATCCTAAATTACATTTTAAAATATGGCCATATAATAATTCCAAGTCTTTTCAAACCTAAGAATTAAGATAGCTAAGCACAAACCGGGGCAAATGGCTAACTACTACATTTTATGACAGTACAGAGCAGTGTTTCCATGTGGTGGTAAATCCAGTTTTCATTTTCAAAATAGTAACCTTGAGTTAGGTTAACCAACCAACAAGTTTGGTTTTGATTTCAATGGCTTTGCAGGTACGATAACCATTGCATTCAGTTAAGGTGTTAACTAACCCCTGAACCACACTTGATGAGAATGATAGAAAGCATTTTGGGTATCATCAAAAAAAGATAAAAAATATCTACTTAATTTGGGCATGGCTGGCTGCTTACGCTATATTGATGTCCAGGGAGTTTATTCCCTGCTGCTTTCAAAAGGTTGGCCTTTTAGAAGAAAAAAGTAGAGAAGGACAATTGGGTTTTCCTCCTGATGACAAAAGAGGAAGTTTCAATCAAAAATATTTGATGCTCTAAATAAAAGGGAATAAAAAGTTCCTACAATTTTCCTTTTCTTTCTAAATCTTCACTGAAAGTGAAGAGTTTGAGCTGAGGAACATTGTCATCTCCATGGGGTCTGTAATGAATTTACACGTTTTACTCCAACTACTGTATATCTAATCAGAAAAAGATGTCCCTCATCCCCTGATCTAGCGCCAAGCAGTAAAAGGTGATTCCTTATGTTAACAATTTCAGCAGAATGGCTTATTAAAACCAGATTTTAGGGTATTATAAAATGCTTAGAAGCCCTTTAAAATGTCAGCTAGGATCCCCAGAGACTATGTAAAATGTCAACCCAGCTCAAGCGCCTGTTTTAAGCGGAATGAATTAGCGGCATGCTGTTGAGGCTGTTATCCAAAACAATCAGCAAAGAGGAAAACATCAAGCTTTCTTTGTACTTTTGTATGAAATGGGCCATTTAGAATGCTCTTGTGGCTATTTGACGATCACTTATTTATTTAAAGCTGTGACTAAATATTGAGGCCCAAAACACCTCAATGTTTTATTTGTTCCCAAATATAAATGTTATATCTTTTAATAACACAATTTCATCAGAAAGACTGAAATTAGGCAGTATTCTCTCTCATGTTGTCTATTATGATATGATCATATGGTCATTCTAATATTCTTTCCCTCAGATCAGAAGGGAATTATCTTAGCCAGTCATCTCTTTTCCACGGAGGCTTTTGCTATATTTCCTAAAATATCATTTCATCAAAACTGGTATTTCTTATAGTTAAGACAGTTTTAATTGATGATTATCACCTTTTTGGTATTCAGATACATGAGTTGAATAATATAAAGCCAGTTTTGAAATCTTAGCATTTAACTTGTTCTTTATTCTGACAATTTTGGATTTCTAATTTGGTAATAACTGATATATTAAAACTTGAAATATGTTTACATACAGCATTCTTTTCTAGAGTTTTTCCAAATGAAACTGGTAGTTTTGTAAAGATGGGAAATTTCATATGGAAGGTAGAATATAGTCACAAAAAGGAAAAACAGACCAGCACTGGTGGAGATGTAAAAAAAAATGTGGATTTCCTCTTGATCAGTTCAAGTTTTTGATTATGCATGATATATATTTTTACACACAGAGTTTCATATTTTCTATGTATACTACTGAAAGCTTCGTATGTTCATGTCTTTTTAGATAAGATTTAGGTGAAAAATGAGATACAAGTTTAAGTGGCTAATGGTTTCTTTTTTGATCCCATTACAAATGCACCTTGCGGACTCGGTGGCATCTATTACCTTTGTTGAGAATATGGGATCATAAAAACTCATGTGGCCAGATGTGGTGGCTCACACCTGTAATCCTAGCACTTTGGGAGCCTGAGGCAGGTGGATTATCTGAGGTGAGAAGTTTGAGACCAGCCTGGCCAAAATACAAAATTAGCTGGGTATGGTGGCCCACACCTGTAATCCCAGCTACTCAGGAGGCTGAGGCAGAATAATTGCTTGAACCTGGGAGGCAGAGGTTGCAGTGAGCTGAGATCACACCACTGCACTCCAGCCTGGGGGGTAAAACGAGACTCCATCTCCAAAAAATAAAAAAAATTAAAAAAAAACCCTCATCAATATGTTAGCCATTTATAGATCATCAGTAAAGAATCAAAAGTGATACTATCATTATAAACTCCATGTAATTCCAAGTGCATTATGAATTTTAATAAAGCTTTTATAATTTTGACAAATTTGGTGACTTGTTAAAGCCAACATTTTCTGATCAAATATTTCTATTCTATTTTTATCATTAAACTCTTAGAAGTCACAGAGTGAGTAATCAAAATTTTCTTAGATTGTCGAGTATCTGGCCATCAGGCTACTTGAAGGTGAAGATTATGAAGACAAAGATATTGATGAAGATAATGATAATTACAATGATAATGATGTCAAGGTAAGGCACAAAAGCAATGGAATCTTCTCTTTTTTTTCCCCTTGGACCTGAATTGTTCTATAGTAGGTATCTTTATAATCTGCACTCTATCTTCCCTACCATTTTTCCTGTGTGCTTCAGTGTCTGTGTAGGTAGAGTAAATGTGTACTTTGTTTTCTGTTAAATTGAATGTTGCAATGGCAGAAAAGTCTCCTTTCAATCATCCTGAAAAGTATTAAAAGTTATTATTATTAAAAGTATCTTTAGTACTTATGGTTACTAAAAGTATAAATGTAAAAACGTGCACTCTACATCTTCCTGTGTTCTGAAAATCTAATGCTGGTTTTCAATTACAGCACTGGAATAAACACCTTCCCCACCTCCACCCTCACCCCCACAACATGATGAATTCTACAAACAAAACTTCTTATCCTTCTGTTACAGAGGATGATGAGAGAGGAAGGAGACCTTAAGATTACAATAAGTTGTCTATAGTATGCAATGAAATGAATACAAATGATCAGTAGCAATGTCTAGTGACTCGTGAAAGTAACTATTTTCTCAGCTTTAGTAAAAATATTTCTAGATTTTTGAAGATGATAAAGCATTAAAATAATTAGTATGAAAACAAACAGCTAAATGAGCTATAGAAATATGGTTGATATATTTCCCAATGAACATAGAATGCTTCATCAACAGAAGAAGCCTCAATGACGATGCTTATTTTCTGGATAAGCAGATATCAGGAGCTGCATGGCCTCCAAATCCAGGATCCTTCCACAGCTGCAGGAAACAGGACAGTGCCTTTATTCCATATGTCACTTAGTTCTTAATGTTTTTCTTACCCAATATCTTGCTGATGTTGGAGTTGTGCATGTCAGGAAAGGCTTGAAGGATCTTTCTCCGCTCATCTTTAGCCCACACCATGAAGGCATTCATTGGACGCTTTATGTGGGGTTCATTGCTACCACGCCCTCTGGATTCCCTATAAATTCTTGACTCTGAGACTCCAGCACTTCCTGAAAACAGGACATACCACTTCGTGTTAGTGTTAAAACTTTTGGCATCTCTTTTCCTTGTATTCCTATTTTTTAGTCTATTAAGATATCTGAAAACAAAAAGTACTTCTGATAATGGCACTTCTAGTTCTTAAGACAGATGCTTGTTTATGAAGTTTTTGTGATAAGTCCTGTGGTGGCAAATGTTGTATTTGTATTTTTAACCCATTTCTAATCTGTTTTCTCTTTCTTTTAGTGAACTGTTTCCCCATTTACTTTCAACAGCTCACAATAAACTCCAAAATGTGATTTTTGATGCAATTTGGAAAGAGAATAGTTAGATTAAATCAATAGGCATACCAGTAGTATAGAAATATGAAATAGGTAAAGAAGCAGAAATAAATTTGGCAGAATGGATGATTATAAGGGAGATATATTTTTGCTACTTAAAGACTGTCTGAACATATGTAAATAAAAACACCAAATTTTGAGGTTAAAAACAGTATAGATATTTTTTCCCTGTAACATAATTGTCTTTTCTTTGAAATTATATGCTGATAAATGCATGACATATGCTGATACAGCAACAACAGGTCTGACCCCAAATGTATGTAAAAATGATAAGGAAACGAACAAATAAACAGTTATATTACTCTAGTTTCTTAAGGAGTCTAAAGTCACATGTTTAAGGTGAGAAAAATAATAATTTCCTTTGAATTTTCCCCCTAATATCTAAAGTTATCCAAAGAGTCCCATGGACAGTTACATTTCAATCAGTAAGATTCACAGATGATAAAACACAACTCATGAGTTAACAACGATAGCTCTGGAAGATGCATTCACTCCTCCAGGCTTATGCGACTTCTCAGAATGGCTTCAGCAGATTAAAGAGCTTCCAAGATACTTGAGTTTAGGCAAAGAAAAAATAAGGAGAACTAGTATAACTCTGACAGTAGGTTTTCACTGGTTATTGTCACAAAAGCTGCAGATGTATTTTGGTAGTATCTAAAAGTCTAAAAATACTTCGGGGATTTCTAGAGACTGTATTATCACCAAAAGCACTGCTTTTCTTTTCTTGCTTTGTATTCATTCCTCATTTTTTCTTTTTTAAATTTGAAGAAACAGGAATCAAACAAAATGGCCAAAATTTGAAGACCTCTATAGTGACACATTAAAAACAGCATACCTGTTGGTGAAATTTCTCAATATTTCTCATTAATAACATGCTCTTTGGTTTAATGAAAAGTGGAAAATATTTCACATATAAGCATGATTGAATTTAACTAATAACAGCATCAAAAACTTTGATGTTTTAATGCTGATTACTGTGGGTCTATTTTACCATGCTAATATAACTTAAAATTTATGAAATGTGTTATTACTAGTAATTGTCTTTTATTGACAAAATAAGTGCAAATATATGGCAACATCTTCCTAAAATGGGTTTGTGACTAGCAAATGATCATTTGCACATCTGCCTTTCCTTGTTCTTACACCTTACAGCGACATAAGCAATAAAATGAACATTATGTGTCTTCATCAAATCTAAACAAGCTCTTTAAATGTACACAGGCTAGGTTTATTTTATCTAAGTGAAGTAGAAAATAGAAAATGTTTGTGACATTAGACTAGAAAAATGCAGAGTGAATCCAACTGAATGAAATTCAGTCTTGATAGAATTATGTGTTTCAATGTGCAGGTTTGTTTAATCCCTTGACTCGTACAGACCTGGTCTTAAAAGTAGAATTGGCCCAAGGCAAGGAGTAGAGAGCTGTGTATACTGGAGGGTTCAAGGGGACCCTCTCTTAAAATGTGCATCTCACTGGTTTGCCCTGGTGTACTCTTTTCTGTATGTAGGGAACTTGCCCGTAATAGTAACAAAGTTGAGAGCTGTGCCACCAAAGGAACGCTTAAAAAGCATGGATGTTACCTGACAGTAGGGCGATGTTCCCAGTCAGGGTACTTTATAAGAAGAACAGGACTTTCTTCTTTTTCCCTCTTTGCTATGCTATTAAAAATCAGAGTATCAATTTAATTTGTTGTCACTGTGGATGTTCAGAATGTTCAGAGATGATACAGAAAACAGAAGTCTGGAGGCCTATGAGAGGGGAGCATAAAGCCGTGCAGCTGGATTCTAGTTAGGTTACAGAGAGTTGGCAGGGCACTTGACTATGCAATACATAACACTGGAGAGAACGGTTCCAAAATGTAAAAAAAAAATCCTGGAAATGTCCTCTGAGCCATGTATTCTGGTTAGGGCTTGACAAATGGAAACTTAAGAATGAGCTGACAGAGACAAAATTCTGAAAATGTTTGTTTTGTGTACAAGAAAAAGGGAAGTGGGGCTGCGTGCAGCAGCTCATGCCTGTAATCCTTGCACTTTGGGAGGTTGAGGTGGGAGGATCACTTGAGCCCAGGAGTTTGAGATCAGACTGGACAACATAGTGAGTCCTTGTCCCTACAAAAAATTCACACACACACACACACACACACACACACACACACACACACACACACACACACATGCTGGGCATGTTGGCGTGCACCTATAGTCCTAACTGCTCGGGAGGCTGAGGTGAAAGGATCACTTGAGCCTGGGAAGCTAAGGCTGCAGTGAGCTATGACTGCATTACTACCCTCTAACCTGGGCTACAAAGCAGGACTCTGTCTCAAAAAAGGAAAAAAAAAAAAAAAAAAAAAGACAAAGAAGGAAAGAAATAGGGAAGGGAGCGATGGGGTAGCTGGTGATTAAGGGCATTTGCTTTAGAATCATGCCATCTCAATTCAATTCCTGCCTGTGGCGCTTAGAGCTCTGTGACCTGGGGAAAATGCTTCAAAACTCCTGAGGCTCAGACTCTTTCTCTGCAATAGGACTTATCATAGGTTGACTAGGAATTAAATGAGATGATTCATGCAAAGCACTCAGCAGGGTGCTTAGCACATGGGAACTGCTCAGTATACGTGACCTCTTATTGTAATGATCAGGTATGAGGTGGATGTCTAGTCTATTTTTTAGCAGTTTTAATTGACACTAAATAGACACTTTTGTGCATTATTGGAATACATATGAACAATTTTCACAAACCATCAGAATCTCCACTCAGATTGAAATCCATCATTGCATGGCTAAATTTTCCTTCTTCATTCTGTTTAACTGCCAGTTGCTGAGTCAGACTCTCCAGTGTTGTTTTTTCCTTTAAAAAAATTATAATAAGAGATCAGTCTAGGAATTATAATTATTTGAAGACATTTTATTTTCTAGCTTCTGGAAAGGATGCAATGTTGATTTATTCACCTTTGCACTTTCAGCATATTAAGCTGAAGTCATTAAGGGAATGATCATCAGGATTTTTGAAGGAACTCCGATTCTCATAGCCCCAATAAAGTCTTGGTGTTTGGGTTTGGTATGCCTAAAGGATATATGCGGGGATCCTTGGAGATAACCTTCCCAAATCACAAAATGTCCATAGAAATTTCATGGAAGCAACCTGTTTAACATTTGGAATGTCTGCTTTATTTTTGGCTAGACAGTAGAAGTATAGGAGTGGCATGGAGCCCAGAGAAAGTCTTCCAATAGTCAGGTGACCAAATAATAGAAACACAATTCACAGTAGTGCCCTCTGGTTGCCATCTTCCCAAATGCCATCTGCATTCCTCATGCAAGGGTAATGAAGACATTTAAATATTCATTGCTAATTGCTTGTCAAGTCTCTGTACATCCAATGTGAGTGCCTGCTACTTGGACCACAATTTGATTTGGATTACTAAGCCAAAATATTGAGTTAGCGAATTATTTGAGATACAAATATACCAAAATTAGATCTACAGAGACATCAAGTTGTTGAAGCATGCAGTGCACGATTTACATTCATGGAGAACATGGCATTACAAAATAAATTTTTTTCAAGAAAAATATAATGCTTAATCTAAACCACATGAGACATGAAATGACTGTCAAATTAAGAAGTTGGGTGACTTAGGAACGGAAAAAGCATGTAATGAAAGGTTGGTAACTTTCTCTTGAACTCACTAGCACTGCTCTGAGGATGTAGTTCCAAAACAGTTTTAAGAAAAGCATCCATTGGATCTCGTAACATTGTCTCAAGTTTCTGTATAATTATTCACCTCATTTCTGAGGAACATAGTCATGAATCATACTAGTGAACCACATACACTGCAGATCTGCTATTGACACAATAAAATGTTTCCAGAAAGTAATCAATGATTTAAGATAACTGTGTTACAGGTAAAGGGCCCAACTCATGTTCCCGTGAAGAATTAATAAGATACTGAAATTCTTAACACAGTACTTGCTTTATCTCAATGAAGTCTCTGACAATGTGACAATTATACATACTACATTAAAAATTCTCTTAAGTTAGTGGCCTTGAAACTCCTGTACTTTATTCATCAAAGTATGTACATTATTTAATGGAAAACTATTTTTAAATTGTCAATCGGTATAAAACATGTAGAGAAACTGGAGACAAAATAGTTTATATGAACTTGGTTCTATAGAATTAAATGGTATTAAAGTTGAAATAAGTTAAGTATTTAAAACTGTAGAATCTGACTCGATTTGTTTTGTGTGTGAAGTTGTTGTTTTCAGCTGCTTTATATGTTTTGGATGTCTTTCGCTGAGAGAGTCGGCTGTATATATTCAGCTGAGCTCAGGAGCATCAAGGACACCAGCTTAACAGACTTTCTTTACAGTAAATGTAGCTGTTAAAACAAAAGACAGTTACATTAAAAAAAAAACACGCACACACATTCCATCAACATGATCTGATAGTCCTCGGTCAATGTAGACTTTACTGTACTCTCTTTGAGGAATGTACTGGGCTTGGATCACCTCTCAGCCTTTGATTTAACAGTACAGGCAATAATACTACATATTTGCTAGAGAGTTTTCCATTCTGAAGCAAGTTCTTTCAAAAAGAAAGAGCGAGATGAACTCAATCAAAGTAGAAAAAGAATGACACATTAAGCAACTTTCAAGGTTCTGAGTTCAGCTCTACAGATGCTGTGCTGTCTTACCAGGAGACTAAAATTAATAAATATGAGTGGGAAAGTCACACGCAGTTTTTACAGTAAGTAACTTATAACTATCCACCACTAATGCACACTTGGGGAAGTCACACTCAGTTTTTACAATAAGTAACCTGTAACTATTCACCACTAATGCACACAATATTAATAAACAATCCAATTAGCTACCCCAAAGTGAAATTTACTATGCTTCTAAGAGGATGTCAGTGGGACACAGTGGAAGTCAGCCTGGTAAGCTGTACTTTCTCATAGCCCTCTGTATAGTAATTTAAGCTAACAGACATGTGAACAGGAAAAAGGGGAAGCAACTGCAGGAATTGGAGCACGTGAGGTATGCCTTTAATTAAAACACATCACAACAGCATGTAAATCAAAATGATAACATTGCCACATTTTTTAAAAAAGTATGGACAATAAATTCAGAAGACAAGGAAACTCATGTGAGGAGGAGATAATCAACAACTTAAGTGAAAAATAATTATCATATAATTCCATATGAAAACTGATCCTATAAAGTTGATATATAGTACTTATATACAGTACTTATGTATCAATATGTGGTTATGTGTCAAGGCAATATATTGAACCACCAAAAGAATGCATTAGATTTAAGAATAATTCTCAAAAGTTTAAATTCAATTGAATGGCATATAAGAGGAGAAAGAATCAGACAAATGTTACTATAAAGCAGAAGAGCTGACATACTAGAAAAATCTCTCCTACTCTGTTCTTTCAGTCCCACCTGTCTCCAGCCATCACCTCCCTGAAAGAGTTCACCTATGCACTATCATGTATAAAGCTCAGCCATTTGAGATTCTGTTCTATGGGTTAAATGTTTCCTTTTCTAAAAGTGTCTTTTCATAAGAGCAAATACTGTAGGAAAAGGTAATATTTTGATTCTCAAAGTTCTTCTAAATAAATTAATCTTTTCAACTAGAGGCAGCTGGAACCTTTCAGGTATGAAGAGAGTTAAGTGGGAACATGTTGAAAATGGGAAACACCAAAGAAACTGATTTTAGGAAAACAGAAATAAATGTTGATGGGCACAAGTGACAATTTTTACCAATCTTACGATCTTAGCTCTGACTGGCTCTGATAAAAATCACGTTAGTCAAAAGTTTGTGCAGAAAAATAGCATCCCATTCCCCCATTTAAAGACAAGTATTCTGGAACAAAAATGGAGCACAGCACTTAGGAATGCTGATCTGAAAATGACAAGACTCATTAGTCTTCTCTCCTTTACCTTCTTTTTATTAGAAAGATAGCAAAAAAAAAGAAGAAAAGTAAATACATTTAAAGGAATACTTGCCAAAATTCTAAATGCACTGAATGATCTCAGAATAGAGGGCACAAAGAGATTAATTACAACAAAGCAGTCAAAACGCAAAAGTCCTGAGGTAAGGACCCAACAAGATGACCTGTATGCTTTCTCTCTTGAATAAGAAGTAGCAATGGGCTAACAACTAGATTTTCTTTGCAAAAATGAGTCTTGTATGTCTAATCACGTCTTTAAAACTCTGCAGGTTTGCTGAGATCAAGGAGAAACATTAGGTTAAGTCTGTTTAAAAACAGACTTGAAAAAAATCTGATTTTATGCTGACTTGAAGAAAGATCCAAGTGAACCGTATAATCTACAGAAGAAAGTTGTAGATCACATCATTTCCTGGGTGCAAATGAATAACTCCAAAATCTGACATACAGAGAATTATTATTAATGTATTAATATTCACTTGGTATCTAGTGTTATGCTCTGTGACTTATTGAAAGACTTGCATAATGGAAAACAGCATGTATACTGTTTGCATATAATCCCAGGCTGTGGTGGAAATCAACAATGAGAGCCAAGAAATAGCTAAAGAAATATGGACACTTCGTTGTTTGGAAGTGGTCAGTATCAATTCATACTTCTAAGCCAAAACCATTCTGAATGGCAAAAGGCCACAGGGATTCATGGGAAGAGGACATTTTTGAGGTTAGAAAATAATGAGTTTTGGCAACAAGAATATTACATTTTAGCCAAACTCTCTGCCATATATATTAGCCATACTCCTTTAGACAAATCAGTCATCCTCCTTGAGTCCCATAATCCTAATTTGTAAAATAATAGTAAAACGTGTTAGATTATCATTAGTTTGAAGATAAATATACTTTTAATATTATTTTTAAAATGTCAACGGGGAAAATTGAAAAGACAAGGGATCTAATGTAAGAATTACAGAAATAGTTAAATTTGAGTATTAAGTAGTCTGTTATGATTATAAACTCTATTCCGTATGACCAAATACACATTACAAAAGAGAATTTTGCTGGGCATGGTGGCTCATGCCTATAATCCCTGTGCTTTGGAAGGGCGAGATGGGTGGATTGCTTGACGTCAGGAGTTCAAGACCAGCTTGGCCAACATGGCGAAACCCCATCTCTACTAAAAAAATACAAAAATTAGTCGGGCGTGGTGGTACATGCCTGTAGTCCCAACTACTCAGTAGGCTGAGGCAGGAGATCGCTTGAACCCTGGAGGCGGAGGTTGCAGTGAGCCAAGATAGCGCTACTGCACTCTAGCCTGGGTGACAGAGCCAGACTCTGTCTCAAAAGAAAA